CCGACTGACAGCAGCAGCTGCGGGCAGATTTTCATTTTGTTTTCCTCCTTCACAGAAGGACACTGTGTCCCTGGTGTGGGTGTGAAAAAATGACCATAGACTGTCCTTGTTATCTATCACCTGTCGGGTCTGTCAGTCCCCTTTCTGCTGTGCTTGGGTCAAAACAATTTTACAGTAGTTACGGGCATAATCTATTGTTTGTTGTCGTTGCTCGAGTGGATGCCAGTAAATGATGCCTCACTGAGCCTGGAAATAAAACATATTGTTTCGCAGAGGCTGAGGAAAATTGCAGGTCTGGCCTCTGCTGTAAGTTCTTACGGCAGAAATCAAACAGTAAAAACTGCAATCAGCTTGGGATTTCATTTCTTACTCCACCCTAAAATATATTTCACTTATTTTTGTGGATTTTTCCAGGCTTTCAAGCGCTCGTTAGACAACTTGCCTTGTTTGCAGACCGTAAACATAATTTCCGAAACTGAAATTAGAAATCTTTAGGCCCCCAGAAGTGGGGAATATATTTACACACCACACACGACTCCATTCGAACTAAACAAGAGCAAAAAGGGCTAAGGGAAAAAAGTTGAACCATGCTGTTTTTGCTGTTCCCTAACCAGAGGCAACGTTTCCTTCATTGTAGCGGCTGCTGAGTGGAAAGATGTTCGTGTGGCAGGGACTTTCCTGCTGACACAACTTGGAGAGCATTTTCACAGCATGCTCCAGGCGAAAATCCTATAAACTCACAGGGTGGGAGGCAGGGACATGGGATATGGGATATGGCCTGTTAAGGCATGCTACATTTTGTGGCAAGTCAAGCGCACATCTGTTGACCAACAGAGGCTGCTTCCCCAAGCATTGTATACGGCCTTTTAAGGGCTCATGGTGTGAATTGGACACCATGGACATGTGCTCAGACTTTCACACATTTTTCCTTGCAACTTTATTAAATTTCTTCGTCTAAAATGTCAGCTCTTGACCGCTAGCTAACCCGTTCTCAAAAGAGTTTTTGGTCTTATAAAGACATAAGTTTCACATCGAAAGAATGTGTACACCAATCTCGGTGGAAAATTCTGCTTCTCATAACTATTTTGGGTGTGTTTTGGGTATTGGATGTGGATTCCTCACCTGTCGTGATTCTCTTCCACTTCACAGTCCGGAACTTAACTATCCTTTCCTGCAGTTCCGCTCACATTTCCGTTTATGATTGGACTTGCTTTGCTTCCTGTGAGCTGCCGAAAACTGCATGCAACATTTAAGTGCGAAACAGCAACAGATTTTAGTTTGTGCAACAGCACAGTCTCTCTCTCTCTCTCCCTATCCAAAAATTACAGTCGGCAGGTTAACTTTCAATGCAGTTCCTTGACTAGAACGAACATCCAACAGCAATTTCTCTAGGTGGCCAAACAATTCCATTTTGGTTAGTCCTGCGGTTTCCCGCGGGAATATAATTTCGGACACAGTTGTACCTGCATAATGGATTTATAATTGAATTGGGGTTGCAGACATTTGTCGTACCAACATAATAAAAGATTCGTGTTGATTCTCTCAATGTGTTCTCTCAGTGGGTTGTTTGGAACACTCCTTTTCCGTGCACTTTCAGGCAGTTTTCCATGTTAGGCAGCAGCTGCTCGGAGTGAACTTTCCATGGCCACAAAACCCATCATTTAAATTAGAAAATCTCAACTGCTGGGGCATCAATCAGCAGCGAGTTCTTCTCGGTTCCAAGTGTTAGTTTTCCCTTTGGGTGGGAAACTTTTATAATTAGCTTCAGGGGCGGACACGATGACTCATTTTTCTGTTACACTCAGAAGAGTGCCAAGAGAATCTTATTTAATCGGAGCGAAGAACACTCTAATCAAGCGTGTACATTTTCCAATTACTTGTAAAACACTTTCCAGGCTTTCTGCATTAATTCAGTCATTAGCCTTAGCCTCCTCCTCAACAGCAAAGTGCCACAGATGCCTCATGCATATTGAAGTATGTGTGATTAGTGTGTGATTAGTAATGCAATTAAATCGATTCCTTTGCTCATTTTAAATCCTTTCAGCAACAGGAAACAGGAAGCTGCCAGAGAGAATAAGAATTCTCCATAAGAATCCATTTACTTGGCCACCCATGAAGCCACATTGAAACTAACTAATTGACAGTGTAGGGTAAGAAATACAAATTAGTTCACTGCACAGAAAAATTGGGATTACACTGCTCCTAGGACGCCCGCAACAGACATGCTCCACTAACATGAAGATTAGCAGCAGACTGCTGCTGCTGTAATCCAAACGTAAGCACCGCCACATATGTTTGTACATGTGTATAAGTAATGTAGTGGGAATATTCCCGTACTGTCGCGGCTGTTAGAGCGAGAGCGAGCGCAAGCCCACTGTTAAGAACGCTGTCGGAGAGCGCTAACAGCTAACAGGCTGTTAAACTGTGCTGTTAACAGTGCTAGCGTTCCGTTCCGCCAGCGCTATGTAATATTTATGACATTTTTGTGTACAGTGCAGCGGGTGTGAAGTTTAATAAATGTTAAACGCAGCTCAGCTTTTTCCGAGTTGCCACCTGAAAATCTCTTTTCGCGTTCTATCTAGCAACGACAGACTGTACCTGCGACCGCACAGCAGCGTACCAGAATGCGCATCCAAATGCAAAAGTTCAAAACTTTGCAGCAAAACCATTCATTAGCATGCAAATTCGAAAATTTATCAGCTTGTGGTCTCCGGTCATACCCGTTGTACTAGTTCTAGTTTAGATTCTGGTTTTGGTCCAGGTTGACTCCACTCCACTTGGAAGCTTTACTAACTGGCAGAACCCGCAAGAGAAAGTTTGCTCTCTTGCTCTGGAAATGGCATCAATTGCTCTGGGAACAATATATTTATCGACATGACCTCAGACATATTCTGTTGTCCATGGCAGATGCTCCTGTAAATAATTACGATGGTTCAATTAAGCTCGAGAAGTTCCATCTTGAGTAAATTAAACTCGTAATTAAGCCAAACTCCACAGCGGAAAGTGCAATTAGCGGGCGAATTGGGGTAATTACAGGTGGAAGCGTGGGGAAAAAGGAAAAGCAGTAAATGGAAATGTCATTAGCGCATTGAAAGCGCAGTTATTTCACCATTAAAACTGAATCAACAAAATAAATATGGGAGCCCCCAGAATGAATAAAGGAACTCCATTAAAATTGCCGATTGCCAGCCTGAATAAATCAGTGGGGAAAAAATTGCATTGCGATGTCTGTTTTTGTGAAAGCCATCATCAGCGCGGTGAGCGAGGGGCACAGCGGAAGAAAATAGAGGAAATAGCCAGAGAAACTTTAAAGTTGTAAAGTAAAATGGAAAAGACGCGGAAGCGCTGAGGACACTGACGGATGTCGATGTTGCTGCTGGACGTTGGCCATCTTTCAGGTGCCTCCGCAAGACGGAAATGACATTGCTATGGAGGTGACACCAACGACAACGACAGCCGAGAGCTTCGAGCGGAAACGGAAATTCAAAGGCAAACCAAATGGCAGAGCAATTGCTAATCGAGATGGGAAGCGAGCAAAGTGTGAAGTACTTGAGGGACTACCAGAACACTTAAGAAAACATTTAAGAAATATTTAGGAACATTTTTGGCCACAAAATGGTTCAGTCTGCAGCAGAAAGTAAATAGAAATAAAATTAAATGTTCCACTGACACCAAAGAGGGACAAGCCTTTTTCCTGTCCTTAGAAAATGAAACAGAACGTGCCTTTTGTCTTTGTCTTTTGCAAACGAAACACGTAAGCCACGCACAGACATTAGAGCGAAAAAGTGAACAATTCCTAAGGTAAGACGTCAACAGTTGGTGGCCAATGCTGAAGCAGAGAAGAGTACAATTGAATTTGCTTATTGCTGCTGTACCTCGGGGGAGTAGCTGCAATTTCCTGGCAGAGGCACCTTTTATTGGGGTATTCCTACATTAATTGCAACGAGGGTGCAGCTCTCTGGCAGCTTCCTGTTTCCTGTCGCTGAAATGATTGAAAATGAGCAGAGGAATCGATTTAATTGCATTACTGATCACATGCTCCCGTCTGTGGCACTCTGCTGCTTCATGTGGCAGAAGGCAAAGGAATCATTGGCATTGGCCAGGGCTAATTGTGTCTCGAACTACACAAACTTTTCTACATTTCCCCTAAAAAAGTCGCACAAGCAACCGGCTACATTTTATTTGAGCATTTCTGGAAAGCTTTCTGCAAATAATTGAAATGAAAGTCAATGCAAGTCTCAGCAAAATGAGTCATCGTGTCCGCCCCTGAAGCTAATTATAAAAGTTTCCCACCCAAAGGGAAAACTAACACTTGGAACCGAGAAGAACTCGCTGCTGATTGATGCCCCAGCAGTTGAGATTTTCTAATTTAAATGATGGGTTTTGTGGCAATGTGGAAAGTTCACTCCGAGCAGCTGCTGCCTAACATGCAAAACTGCCTGTTTCACTTTTCAAACCCTCTGAGAGAACACATTTATAAATGGCAGACTATGAAGTGACACACACAAAGTTGTGGCAGACAGTGCGAGTAAACGTTGAGTTCTGTTGGGAGGACATTCCCATTTCCCCAGCAAAACATTCAAGCTCTAACTTTAACTTGAACTGATTTATTTCATTCCAAAAGATACTTTATTTATCTGTTAACTGAGCTTCTAAACATCACGTTTCAACATTCAGAAGTTCACCATTATTATGCCACCGAAAGTAAAATAATTTGTTGGTCAATCAACACGAATCTATGGCTATTTTGGCACGACAAGTGTTTCGTGTCAGCAACCCCAATTCAATTAAAAATCCATTATGCAAATAGAATTGTGTCCGAAATTCTATTCCCATCGAAGCTGCTCATAAATATTCATGTGCCAGCAGGAGGGCAACCAAAGTAAAATTGTTTGGCATTCAGAGAAAGAGATTCACGTACAGCACTCTTCCTTAATGGGAAACGATTTTTTTCGAACAATGTTGAAGGGTTTTAGTTTTCAAATATGATTTTCCTGTTACTTTACATGTTAATTTTAATTTTACTTTGACACGTTTTAGCTTGTGCAATTTCTGCACACATTTGATACCACACTGACTTATTACCTATTTGAATCTTTTTTGTAATGGCAAAATCAAACAAATCCAAATCCAAAAGTGAGACATTGGGCCACACCTTAGTCGAGACTTCCCATTCAGTTTTCAGCGAAAAGTTTCGAAATTTTCAGGCAAACTCGCATGAAGCCACATCGGAGAACCTTCTAGAAGTTTCAAAGAAGAAAAGGCAGCTGCATGCAATCGATGCTGAAGACGACACAAACGACGATTTCGAGAAATCCCCTGAGATTGACCTAATTAAAGGACTTCCAAATTCCCAGCCAGAAAACGAAGATGCACTCCATATAAATCCCCATAAATCGCCAGAATCCAGCAGCAGCCCTAAGTCCCAGGCGACGGAGTGCTTCTACATAAACAAACTTAAACAACGCCCCAAGTCTGTGGTGGAATTTCAATTGAAACCCCAAGCAGATGCTGTTTCGCTTCGCTCAGAAAATGAAGCTGTTGCAAGTGATGAAGAAAACACCAGCCAAACGGGCTACGAGGAGGCTGTTGAATTGAAGAATTATGTGGAGCTGCTCAACCAGCTGCGCGACCTTCCCAGCTGCCATGAGCTGGAGTTGCAGGAGGGAGTTGACCAGGAAAAGGCAGTGAGCATACCGGGATCCATTAGAGGCCGTTCGGCTGCCAACTCGACGGGCATGGCAGACACGGACACAGACCAGGAGAGCGTGTCCGAGGCGCAGCCTTCTCCACTGGGGCTGAGTGCACATAGTCTGGCGGAAGTCTCCTCCTCAGAGATCGAGCAAAGTGATTCGTTTGCAGATGATGCTGAGTTGTCCGTTAAGTTCACCGAGGACGAGCCAGCTCCATTGAAACAAGCTGATTTCGTCTTCGATTCAGATGAGGTGCAGATCATTGAGGATGAAATTGTGCCTCTGGAGCTGAACCCAACGATCTGCAACTTTCTGGACGAAATCATTGACAAAGTCGTTGCCAAAGCCGAAAAACCTGAACGCTTACTAAACCAAACACTGGATAAAGCTAAGCTCATGGATGCACTGCTGGCAGAGGCTGATGGGTATCGTTTCGAGCACTTCACAAACCAATATTTATCAAACAGGATTACCGACATTCTGGTGCGCCGTGGCAAGTACTCCCTGGTAACGCCCAGTAAAAATGCAGAAATGAATAAGAACAATCAGAGTCGCTGTCGATTCGCACTAAATGAGTTGGACTACTGGCTGAAGCGGGAGCAGCTCTCTGTCCAAGTGGCACGCGATGAGGTGCAGCGACTTGTCAGCGAAGAGGACAACAGGAGAACCCAAGACGATAATCTGTGGCAGCGTCTGGAGAGCCTTATCAATGATACGCTACTTGTATGCCCCAACTTTTCGGATAATTTGAAAATTGTAAGCAAACATTTTGGAACTAGTTGACGAGTAAATAATTCCCAGTTTGCCCCCACAGCTGGCTGCAAATACAACTAGAAGGCTGAGCAAAATGCGCGATGAGTTGTCGGAGACACGTCTGAATCTAATACTGAAGCAACACACATATTCGCACATTAAAATGGTAGGACTTGGCGGTGTACAACACATAAAAGAGCTGTAAACATTTTCTTTACAGAAAATTCATAAAATGGACACCATTTCCGAGCACCTGACCATGCACAAATATCTGTCAGTTGAAGCGGATGTTGAGAATTTGGACAGAACGTTGGAGTGTGAGTTTTTCACTTAAGAAAGAAGCAACAAAATTGTCCTAAATTTGACCCCCCTTTCAGCCAGAAACTTGAGCATCCTAAAAGCGTCGAACCTCATCAATAGCAAAATCCATTCAGTGTCCCATCTGAGGTGTCGTCGAAAGACTTTGAGCCGCAAGCTGACGGCGGCCCAATGCATACTCGAGTCCCTGAAGAACCAATTCAAAGCCTTGAGGGTCAAGGCCTATCGCTGCAACAAAACCCACAACAAGCTACTCAGTGACCTCGGGAATGTCCGCCACAAGGGCGGCATCGTGTTGTATCCTTTGCTCATAGCAGACTATGACCAGACGGTGGAGGCTGTGGGCACAAAGCGATCTGAGATGGAAGCGCTAAGGGCGCAGCACGACAGTCTGCTGGAGCGACTTGCAGCGATCGAAGAGACTCGACGAATGTCACTGACAAAACATCGACAAAGTCGCAACCAACTTCGCACTTCCACTCTAGTCGAGCGAATGGAAAGGCGTGGAAACTTTTTCTGACAAAAATAAATCCCAACATTCAACGACTTTCCATTCGAATTTCAAAAATTAATAACCATTCATTCTGCCTGTTTAAACTTATCGTTTTTTTTTGCCATGGTTTATGTGGTAATTGTCAAACTGGGCGTGGTGGCTGGCGTTGCCTTTGCCACCAAGCAGCTGGGAGTCTGGGAGAGCTCGGAGCATTCGGCTGTGCTCTTGGAGAATGCCAGAGAAAATCTTCGGCCCTACGCGAAGAACCTGAAGGACAGGATCTGCTGCTGGAAGAGCCCGGAGCAATGCGAAGAGGAATTCGAGCCGATGCCATGGCGAGACTCCTTCGTGGACTCCTGGAATGACACCGTCAAGAAAGCCTTCAACATGCTGAATCAGACGCCTACCTACGTTCAGCACTTTGCAGAGGATGTGGAGAAGGCCGTAAACAACTTCGGCAAGGAAAAGGAACCCAAAATCGTGGAGCAAACGCAAAAGAACCAGAAAGCTATAAATTCCACAAAATCGGACTAAACTTCAACTAATTATTATCAGTGAGCTTACCAGCGCCATCTGTTGATTTTAAAGTGCAGCTCATAGTACTATACGCAAAAACGAACACAAGAGGGCGCTTATTACCGATAGAGGCTGTTAGTTGCAAGCCAACTTGCAACCTCTATCGGCAAGAAAGTGAACTTCGAGGAGTGTGCTTACAAAAAGCTGAAGATACCAGGGCCGACACATGTGGATGCCCAATTCAAATTCAAATTCAAATTCAATCCAGATCCAGTTTACGATACTTTTATTGGTGGTTTTACTTGAGGTCTAACAGAACTACGCGTACGAGTATATATCAAAAATTCGATTTGTTTACAAAGTATATAAAGAGAACCGACTGTTGGGGGGGGGGAGGGGTTAGATACACATATGAGAGGGCACAGCTCGTGTCCGATAGACTGGCAATAATTTAGGGAAAAGCTTTCAAAGAGCTTGTGCCAATGACACTAAATGGTGGGGTAACCCCCCTGTGGATCTCTTAGTGGAGACAGTAGGCCACCAAGAGGGTCATCAGCGTCGAGACGAGACTGAAGTGGGTGAAGGACTTGTCCGCCACATTGTGTGCATCCTTCAGTCCGGACTCTGCGGAGAGACGAGCAGATGTGAGGCCCGGCATCTTCATGATATCAGGATTAGCGCCCGGCGTTAGCGGAGCCAATGGCACCGAACCCTCGGGCACGGTGAAGGGCGTCGTCGGCTGGAATGGTGCAAGATGAGCGGCGTCGGGCGATTGGGTAACTGCGGCTGCCACATTGGAAACGGAAGCCGGGGCAGGGACTGCCCCCTCGACAGCAGGAGCCGTTCCATTGACGGGCGCTGCTTCTGGCGGAGGTGCTGGATAGCAGGCGATCTTCTCCACTTCAATGGTCTTTGTGGCATCAGTTGGATCTGGTTCGGGCACCTTCACTGGCACGCAGATGATTCCACCAGCAGCAGGTGGTGCATTGGGATCAGCGGGAGGAGCAGGCACATTTGGATCAGCCGCAGCTGCCGGCTGTGCTCCAGGAACGGGTGAAGCAGCAGCAGCAGCAAGAGCAGGAACAGCAGCAGCAGCCACAGCGGCACTCGGATCCGCAGGTGTTGCTCCAGGAACTGCTTGTGCTTGTGGTGCTGCAGCTATCGGAGCTAATGGCGCTAATGGTGCGCCGCCCGGTAACTGTGGTGCAGGTGCAAAGGGAGCCGCTGGCTGCCCGGCTGGTTGCTGCACTCCTCCCGCGTTGATTACCGTTGTGCCCGATCCCACTTCGCTGGTGGTCACGGATCCCGGGGGTCCGTTGTTGATAATAATGATCTTGTCCTCGCCACCGCCGCCGCCGCCACCGCCACCGCCAGAGTACGATGGGGCATGCTCCACGACTCTAGTTTGGGTGGGTGTCAGGGCGTGACCCAGAATGGCACCTCCCAGAGCGCCAGCAATGAGCCCAGTGCCTGCAAGCAGATCAATTCGTGTCTTAGTGGATGATAATCTTACAATGGAGAACGTAATCTGGTAAACTCACCCAATCCAAAACCTGATCCAGACTTTTGTGGGGCCTGTGGATAGTAGGTGGCACCAGCGGGCAGGGCTCCACCTGCGGGCAGGAAGGTGGCACCTGGCGGCACACCACCGCCCATGGGTGCCTGCGGATAGTAGGTGGCTCCTGGGGGAATCTGTCCGGGACTGTGGTATGTGGCACCTGCCGGATGATAGCTGGCACCCGCAGGATATTGGCCTGCCGGATGATAGCTGGCGCCCGCTGGCACCTGTCCAGTTGGATAATAGGTGGCGCCATGCGGCACCTGCCCAGCCGGGTGATACGATGCTCCCGCCGGCACCTGTCCTGCCGGATGGTAGGTGGCGCCCGCTGGCACTTGTCCTGCCGGATAGTAGGTGGCTCCTTGCGGCACTTGTCCCTGCTGACGCGGATAGCTGGACTGCACGTTGTGCGCACTGCTGGCCGAGATGGGAGTGTGATAGCCGCTGCCAAAGCCACCGCCCGTGGAGTTCGCCCTGGGTCTATAATTCGATGCGGGTGTGTAGTGGGAGCTAGCCGCTCCAGCTCCAGCTCCAGCTCCAGCTCCGGTTGCTGCTCCTGCTCCGACTGCTGGCCGGGCATTGGCGTTGTAGCTGCTGCTGCTGCTGGGGCTGTTGCTGTGGGTGTTGGTGGCCGCCGCGTAGCTTGGCGGTGCTGCCGGCTTGTAGGCCGGATTGTATGCAGGCGGACGCTCGTGGATGTTGGTGTGTGCTCCGCCGGCCGGATTGCTGGCGGAGTATGCAGGCGGCGGACCCTGTGCCTTGGGAACATTCCATCCAATCGGTGCGGAGCTGTGACTGCTCTGTGACTGACCCATGCTCACTTTACTGGGCTGCGATTGGGTGCCACCGCCATAGCTCAGACGACTGATGTCCGAGTGCGAGTACGAGGGATTCGCGTGTGAATGCGACGTGGATGAAGAGGAGGAAGTGCGTCGCGGCGAGTAGCTGCTGGAACTGGAGCTGCGGCTCTTGCTGCCGCCGCCGCCAAACCAGCGTTTGCCCTGGACATCGTTTGCGATTAGGGCCAGGAGCAGCAGGACTACAACCAGGCTGCCACTCAGTCGCTTCAGTGGCGTATGCGACATGCTGCAAGAGATCAACATCAACACTCAATTACTCACAGTTATCTCAATTAAGGTCCCAAAGCCTAGAAGATTCTATTGCTTTTACCAGCGTAAGATTATCTCTGCTAGAGTGTCTCCAGCTGCGGCCTCAAACCCAACCTTCTGCTCTCGTCGCCCCATTTTCATTTTTATTGTCAGTCATCATCTGCCCGCGAGGCCTGAATTTAGTTTATGTTTATGTAAAAAAACAATTGATTCAATTAGCGCTCTAAATAAAACACAAAAATGTTAAGCAAGCTCAAGCCTGGAGCCTCCATTTGCACCATTCTCCATCCCTAATTTCTATCCCATATTTGCGCCAAAAGTTTCGCCGATCTGGGCAGGGCAGGGCAGGGCAGGACAGGGTCGAACACTGACGTAATGTCACGCCCTGATTGCCAGACTTGGAGGAGGCTTGGAGGCTTCCCCCTTGCACCACTGCCGGATTCCAAGCGCGTTATGCGTGTCTTGGTCGCCCTCTTAATGATAATTAACTTGCTGATTTTGGTCGGCTTGTCGCGTGGCTACACTCGATTGACTTTTCATTTCATTTGACTTCCAGGCGCACCCTGTCTGCCGCACAACATTTTGGAGGTCAAGTCTTTGAGTAAGAGGAAAATTTGTCATAAGTTTAGTTCCTGAGTTAAGAGTAAAGTGTTATAATAAGAAAATGCATTCAGATTGACTCTGGTAAGCGTGGAAAAACCTCAAATGTTTCTACAAATCAATTGCTAAATGTCATCGAATATTCAGGTATTTAATAGACTGCAACAAATACAATTTTTTTCTATATGCTTGGAAGTTATTTACCCAATTAATGATTAACACTTGGCTGAAACGTATTTAGAGCAAACAAAGAATGGATTATAAGTAGCGCAATGGGAGGGTCAGTGTTTGCGTGACTTCACGCTCGGTTTGGAATTTGTTAAAGAAAACTTGCAGACTTTCGACCTTTTAGAAATCGATTGAGACTTTTGGAATGAGTTGGAAACGAACTAAATGACGTGCTAAGATGGAAACACAAAAAGAACCTGGCAATATAGGCCTTAAGTTAGACTTCTGATTCACACTTCAAACAAAAACAGAAGCTCTAAGTACACAATTTGTAAACCATATAAACCATATCGTATTTGAATGCTGGCCCAAAGCTAAACAAATAGAAATGTATGTAGATCGAAAGAGCTGTATGCAAATAAGCAACTCGGCAATTGTATACAGATGAGATTGCAACTGCTGGAAACCAGACAAGCGAAGCCACAAACTTGTTAGCCATGACTCCATGAGTCATCCGACTGCAGCGCATGCGCAGCTGTGACGTCAATCGGGAAATCGTTCAATGCGAAAGCTGGTTTATTGCCTGAATTTCTGAGAATTGAAAACATCTTAAGGCTGCTGCCCACTGGGGCATAAACAATATTCGTAGCTGCGAGATTCTGTCTAGAATTTGTCAGCTTATCGCTATTGGGTTCAAATGTTAATGCGATTCTAGATTAGCTTTGAAATCAAAGAAAAATACTCATTTCAAAGTACTTCATAATGTGATTCATTGATTGAGTGACTATTTGAGAGAGTTTTTTCATTATTTAAGAGTTATATAATAGTCAAAACACGGCTGCCAAATCAGGGGCCATGCAAAAGATATAAAAATAAACTTAATTGGGCTGCAAAAGCCGGTTACCCGCAACGAAGTTTGAAGTGGAATACTCTTGAAAACCGAAGCTTTGCTTTCTCTATTTAAGCAGTTGTTGATAAATATTTATGCGAATGTATAGACGAAACATAATACTGGCACAGCTGTTTCAACATTCGAAACTATTTGGAAATGATATAATTGTGGAGCAGCAAAACTTCTCCAGCACTTTGGACCTTGAATGAATTTAGATTTTCTCCCGTAAAGTTGCATGGCAAATAAATGTAATTCATAGAATTATGCCTCCCTTCTCTGATGCACTGGCGCCTTGGAACGTCATTGAAAACAGGGAATTTCCTAATTTTAGTTGAATGTAAAAATAGATTCTGGAGGTTCTTTGTTCGGATTTTGAAAGACATACAGATGGCATCGATAGAACAATTTCAGATATGAAAAAACTAGAAAAAACATCTGTTGATATATTAGGCCGAGAAATATTTGTACAATTTTGCTGCTTAAGTGGACCTGGAAGGGCTCCAAAAACCACTTTGAATTGTCTTTTGGAATATGTCTGACATGTGTTTGGTGTTTCGCTGGTGTATTGTTTTCCTTTTAGCGTGACTCGACCTTGAATTAGTTCAAGTATAAACAAAGCCCCACCGCAATACTAGGTGCTTAATTAATGCAATTGGTGTTTCCACTTTATAGCCAATAAACATAAATTTAGCACAATTTTTTTTTTTTTTTTCATTTGGAGATAGAGCTGGAGCACCCACAACACTACGAGTATGTAGTAGGATTAATTTTGGATATGATAAAACCGTGTGTACGACTACTTGTTAAATATTTACTTTGTTTGGTGGTTTATTAGCTGTGCTTTTTATTTGTGGATCTGTTTCTGCCGCGTGCGATTTGTGCTTTTGTTCCGTGCAAAGTTTTTCGAGCAACTGAAATGCGGTTGAAAAATTGTACGCGTTTTTGCTCCCGAACAAACCGGAGCGGAGCGCTGACCGCGAGAGCGAGGCACCAACTTGTTGTGGCTTTTGTTGCCGCTATACAAGTATTTGTCATCTCTGGGGTCTCTCGCGCTCCCTCTTTTTTGACGTTGTGTGTGCTTTATGTTTTTATTTAATTTTAGTTTTTTTGTCGTTTACTTTTGGAGGGGAGTCGCACTGCATGGGGATTTCTGGTATCTCTGTCAGAGATGCTTCTGTGTTATATACTTCATAATCTCATTCACATGGGTTCGCTGAATCATTGATAAGCCCGGGACTGACTGAGCAAAAACATATGTGAATATCTAAAGTTTAGTTCTCCCACTTGAAATAGCGTCGCTCTGTTAACGCTACTGCGCCCGTAATTGTGTGAATGATATCGGGAGGTGCATCTAGCCGAAGCTTCTCAATGTCTCTCATCATTCTCTCATCCCCTGTGCTTCTTGTTTTCAGTTGCTTCATCGCCTGACGTTGGCGGCTCGCTTTGTAACTGTTGTTTTTGCTGTTGTAGCTGTTGGTGTTGCTGTGGGTGTTTTGCTGGATTTAATGAGAGCCAAGTGAGCTTCATTGCTGTTGTTGGATCATCGCACACATTCACACACGCACACAATGCCACTCAAAAGCTTTGTGTGTAGGTGTTTTCGAGCCCGTGTCGCTGCTTGGACTTGAACGCGCGTCGCGTCGCGTCGCGTCCCATTCCATCCACCGTTTTCAGCTTCAACGTTGATATCAAGGTAAATTGAGAAGAAGGTAAGGCATTACCTCGATCTGCTCTGCGGCTAGCCTAGTTTTTTCTTCGCCCCATCCACACATGCGATGTCATCTGCGTATTAATGAGTGGAACGAGTCTGAGTCTGGGCTCTACCTTACTTGCAATATGCCTTGGCTTTCGCTATGATATTTGTTGTGCTTGTGCGCTGAGGCGATGCATATTGTTGTTCTTGGGGGCAGTCGTGCCCGTGTGGGGGTGCGACACCATGTCCATCCACAACTGTCAGAATTTTGATGGAGCCTGAAGGGGGCCTTGACGTGGGTACGCGCTCTGAACCGCCACTCTCGCCTGTTGTTGCTTGCCTATGATGGGTAATAGTATTACAGGATCCCCTTATCGACCTTTAAGCCTTTTTTTAATGGAATTAGTGTGGGCTTTATGGTAAAAATTGGGGGAAATTGGATGAAAGTAGGGTTAAAGAAGTAATGCATCGGAATTCGGAGAATTGTTTCTTTCTTAACAACTTCATGTATCTTATGGACTCACAAAGACTTCATTGGGTCTCAAATAAAGATAGTAATTTCATTACTAAATAATATTTATTTGGTATAACACTTAAATCTAAGCCTAAGGCTACTAAATCAAAGCGTCAACCTCGACACTGGCAGCTCTGCCAGCCACATAGCTGGCCACCTCAACAGGCTCTCTGGCTTCACTACCTTCAGTCCAAGTATCACCTCCAATATCTCCCGCAACAATGGGTGGATCGGTTGTTGTCGTGCTGCCCAGTTCGGAGCCCTCCATTGGGACTGCCAACTCTGAAGCAGAGGGTGCCGGAAAGCAGACCACTCGCTCCACTTCCCGCATCATTTCGGGCTGCTCGGGATCAGTTTCGTTGAGTGTGATGGGAAAGCAAATGATGGTTCCTGGTGGGGGCAGAGCTGTACCCTCGACATCAGAAGACTGCTCGCTGGAGCTCTCGTCCTCCTCCGTGAGTGGATTCCCTGGAGCTATTGCAGCGCCAGCTTCCTCCGAAATGGTTGTCTCATTGAGAGCAGTTCCCTCCGGCTGACCATTGTTGATGATTATGATCTGGCGACCGTTGCCCTGGGCCGTTTGCTCCTCTCCTTCACGATTTCTGTGGTAGACATGATGACGGTGACCAAAGAGCATGTTGTTCATCATGTGTCCAGCCAGCATTCCGGTCAGAAAGTCGCCAGTTCCTGGTGGATATTCAAGATATTATCATACGGGAAGGAAGGCCCTTTCTGCTGATAGACTTACCCAATCCTCGGTTCATGGACAGGGGGGGTTGGGCATAGTACACGGCTCCCGCGGGCAAAGAGTGTGCATTGGAGTAGTATGTTCCCTGTGCCGGATGTGCGGGATAGTTGTATCCCGCTGGCATCTGCTGGCGGGGATAGCTGGGTATCTGCTGCTTTGGCGGCATCATTGCCTTCGGTGGGGCCGGCGGTGGTGGTGGAGGCTTTGGCACAGACATGGCCGTGTGCACTGGTGAGCCGCTCACCACACGACGACCACCGCCCGACGACGAGGGCTTCTTGTACTTTCGCCAGCCGCCAAAGAGACCTCCAAACGAGCCACCGCCTCGACCACGTCCACCGCGCGCCTCGCTCGGATGCAGGACGGTGACGGCAATGAGCAGCAGAATTAACACAGAGCAACAGGATTTCATGATGAGTGATGATCACGAATCAATCTCAACTGAACGCGACGATAGGCACGGACGAACTGGAGCCACTGCGGGATCGCTACAACGCGTATATCCATGGAAAGTGATAAATGCGTGGCACGTTGCTCTACAAAAACGAGCATGGGGCATATCAGGCTAGTGCCAGGCACTTGCAAGACCCACCCACACACAGAGAACAAAAGGAAGCTCCAATGAGATGCCAGTTTGCTCTTGTTGAATATTGTAAATCTAATAATTTAGAGTGCACCTAAAAGCCTCACCTGCCGTAGGGTATTCGCATCATCCTTTCATCTAGCGCATGGCACATGAGTTTCATCTATCGGACAATTTGTTTTCGTCTGCCCCGACGACAGACTCGTATTCGCACTCGTATATGTACGTTCCCCCTATCGCTGAAAATTGAATGAGTGTCGCCGTGTAATAATTCAATTGCCTCTAATTGAGACGAACTCAAAAAATTCTCGGATTTTCTCTCCTGCCCGTACACAAAACGCCAGAATATCAAGTGCTCAAACGATGCTGATGGCTGATGGCTGCTGGTGCTTGATGCCGATGTTGATACGACTACTGCGACAATTTGCCAAATGTGTCGCATCAGGTTTCATTACGACAAGAACATGGAATCTGAAATCTTGCCAGTTGGGGGACTGCATTACTCGAAGGAAAACAACGAGATGAAACGCCACGTTGACGATGGCGATCGCTCATGAACCTTACTATATGTTGACCCATTTCAAAGGCAATGCATTTGCATGTGCACCTTGAAGAGGCCATTAGAAATCATCAGATGTGAGCGCTAATATTTGTGCGAGAATGTTTATGTAAGCTCTAATGAAAATCACTGAGAGGAGCACAGAAAACACAACGTGAAAACAGGCTTAGAGAAGTCGCTCACATAAAATAAAATAAAATCCCACTGCTAAAACTCTCGCGTAACCATGTCCTTTGTGGATCATTCAAATGTGGCAAGTACTCGAGAGGACTTCTATCCCGACATCTAGCTCTTGTTTATCATCTAAAGTGCCCTTTTTTAGACCCGCTGTTCTCTGCACTTGCCGCTGTACAATGCCAGTCAGGCCTGTGAGCTGGTGAGGACCACGTTCACCTGTGGATTGTTTGTGCACTTTGTGAACCACCTGCAGATTGCCTTTTGCAGCTTTCATTTGCCTTTTGTATCTGTCTATGCCCTGATCAGTTTCCTGCTTTTGTTGGCCATTTTTGGCATGAGCTATACCCTAGCCGAATATTTGTGGGTATATTTAATGACTTTTCCTTTCAAATAATATTCTCTTTGGTGTCCGCCAGCTTCATGCCGAACTTTGTTACCCTCATGGATATTTTTCCCTTGACAAAGTTTGCTTTCAGCTACCTGTTCTTTGGCATCTCCTTCTTTGTGCCTTATTATCTGAGTATTTGGAGGAGTTGTGTGGACAAGGTGGAACATCTGAGTGCAGTGCAATTTTCCCGAATGACGGGAGATTTAATGAGACATTTTGTCACTGGTGTCATGGTCTTGTGCATTCGCGGATATCGAGTGGATGGGGTTAACATTTGGTCCAGTTTGGTTTTTATTTTACTCGGATTTGGTTACTTGATAGCTGTGACCAGCAAGCAGTACGATGTCCATGAAAACACTCATCAGGATATTTATCTGCTCAAATTTCGCGTGATTATTTTCTTGTTTGTGTTTTCCATGGTTTCTGTTGTGGTTTTTGTGGTCTCGCACACCAACTTTTGGCGCCTGAATCCCCCCAAAGACTATGCACCGGAGGATTACTCTAATTTGGAAAGTGACGCTGAAGTCTTGGGCAGATATTCGAAGCGTAGGCAGCTAAAAAGATGCAAAATTTGGTGGCGAACGGTGAATGGATTTCGGAACACAAAAGGTGCCCAAAGCTGTTTAGGTATACTGCTGGTGGGTGCGACTATTATCTTTATATTTTGTGAATTATTTACTTTGACAGTGCCTTTCAGATACCCTTTTACTTTCTGGCTGCTCATTTGATTCCTGTTCTAGCAGTTGATCGCCCATTGTGTGGCTGGAACAAGTATGTAAACTGCTTCAGTCTTGTGATCTTTCCCTTCCTGTGCATGCCATTGGGCATTGGGCCTGAGGCCTGGCTCCTGTTGGTCGTCATCTGTTGGCTGAGCTCTGTGCTGGTCTTTATGTCAACACACTCCCTGAGGCAGCCAGATTATGTGTGGCCGTATGCGCTCCTCGGACTGAGCCTCAGCTCGCTGGCCTTGCGATACTTGATCCAAGAGGTTGAGAATCTCACCTGGCAGTTTGTCAGCTTCAGGTTTGATGTGATGCCTGATCTGGTTGCCCTGATGTGCTTCGGCCTGGGTGACATCTTCTGCGAGGTAATCATTCTGTGGCATCTGATCCAACGCAAGTTCTTCGATGCTGCCTTCGGTGTGGTCATGAGCATGGTCACATATGGCATACTCCTGGCCCTCCCACTGCTGCTCTGGCATGGCTGCTATAATAGTAATACCCATGTGAGTAATACACTTCCACGCCGATTTGTGCCGCCTCTAATCTATTGCTAGTTTTAGATCATTGTCACAGGTCCAACAGAGACTTGCATTCAGTTTCTCTTTCTCATGTTTGGCTCTAGTTTATTTCATGTGTCCATGAGCGGCTACGAGTTTCGGATGTCGCTTTTCCTCTATTTGCTGGCTGTGACTGTTGTTTACATGACATTTCAGTGGATGACTTACCATTTTTGGGTGCATTCATTTGCCACGCTGCATAATGTCTAAGGGAGTTTATTCGTAAATAAAGTGAATATTCTGACTTTCAATAATATTTAAATATTGCCACGGCTCATTTTTATGTGAATAAATAAATAAATTTACGTGACGCATATTTTGAGCAAACATTTCGCCGAAAGTAACTTATTTATCTATTTTTCTTGCCATTATTTTGCTTGAAAATCAAAGTGGACTATTAAGTCATATTCATGGACAACTTGCCTTGCATTAGGCCAACTTAATCGTCATAAATTTTCATGGTCTATTGACTGCTGTCCAGAGAGAGGGCAACTCCAGCCACCATTAAAACTTAATGCTGAGGCAGTACAGTCCTTTGAGAGCTAGATCTCCAGCCGGAAACACGCACTTGCTCCATTTACAACGTTTAGGACATTTTCAAAGTCATTTATAATGAAATGTAGATGTTGAATCGCCTGCGGGCGTGGGGTCGAAGTCGTATGTCATCTATAAAAGCAAAAATTAGTTCCTGCAGCGGAGCGGAGCGGAGCGGAGTAAAGAAAACTTATAAAATATTTACGAGCTCAAGGGAGCGTAGAGGAAAACAATTCCTGGACAGGGCGGAAATTTGAGACGAGGTCCGAGTCCAGGTTCGAGTTTGGATGGCATAAAAAGTAACTACTTTGTGGCTTATGTGTGAAGTGCTTCAAGATGCGAAGCCCTGGCACACTTCACCGCAAAAATATTGTTTCTACGAGTGTGTCGGGGGGGAGTCCAAAAACAAAAGACGAGCCATACTTTCGGCTGGCCAAGGTGTCTGTGTGCGTGTTGTGATTGTGTAATAAAAAAATATCCAGCTGACATTTTGTGTCAAGCACCTTTTTCATTTTGGCACTCGGCATAGCATGACCGAGGTCCGCAAGAACCCAATGGGGAAGCGCTGTCTGCATGCTGCAAGGGGCAAGGGGTTGCTCCTCCTGGCTCGATGCTGGCTGCTTGAGTGATGACAAATTACATTTGTCAGATTTATGACCAATTATGAGCGTGTTATATATCACACCGCCAAAGGCAAAGGCAATGGCAATGGCCAAATGGCAGCGTGAGCCACCTTAATGGCAAGCGCAATGAATAAGTCGCCGTCGTTTGTTTGCGGTCCACAGAACATCCATATACCATACACTCTTACTGGAGGAGATGTCAAGACGAAGCATGGGATACCCTAGCAGATTTAGGGCTGCTGTGTTCTCAATTTTGAAGGGATATTTTGTACATTTATTGGGACATTTTGTATCAAACCAAAGTGAGAAAATCCTGATTATTTAGATTATTTTTGCAATCACTCCATCAAAGTTCCAACATCCTTTGCATAGTGTATAAATGTGTGCATGTTTCTCTGTGTTCTAGTAATGCCAGCACGCATTTCTTCTATCCCAAGTACTCGGTACACATGTAGCCCCCCTCTGCCCATCCAAATGCTGTCGTATTTTTTCTTATTTTGAGAAATGTTTGGGATTTCCTTTCGCACGCATGAGGTCTAAGGCGTGTCTTTATTTCTACACTTTCGCTGCCGGAATATTTATGCTGTTAATGCGTTTGCGAATGGCTAAAAATCGCATTTATTACACGCGCAGTTAAACTTCAATTACGGCTCTAATCATAATGCAGCGAGGGTCGCTCGCCCACTAATAGCCACATAAATAACCCGCTAGCTGTGGGTCAACGCTTGGAGAAGCAGTGGAATCGTTGGGAGCTAATGGGTAATGAGAGAGGATAATGTGCTGCTGTGATTACAAATGCATAAATGTAAGCTGCAGGCAGAATATTTCACCCACAAGGTGGGTGACTCCTCAATCCGCTCTCGCTCGAAATCATGCCCACATTTCGCTGTGACAAACACACAGAAGGCGCACAGAAATATGCAAACTGCCATAAAATACGCGCAAATTAAAATCGAAAACCATAAATTATCCAAAAAAGAACAACAGAAGAAAAGAACGGAAAGGAAAGCTGTGGCAGTAGGGAGGGGGCGTGACAGCAGCTGGAATGGCACAAAGCGAGGAGCAGCCGAAAAACAAAATCATTTTATGCCTCACTTTACAATTCAATCAGTTTCAATTTCCACCTGCCGAATACATTTCCGTTGTACAGTTTATGCCGGCGAGCGGCTGTTTGTAATTTTTTAATTTCAACTCGCATTTCCCAAAATTCAATTAGTTTTTGGCACACACACACACCAGACAGGAAGGAAGGAAGCAAGGCATAAAGCAGTCGGTCCACAGATCCTGTAAAAGATGACGGCTGGGGGCCGCCGGCACACCGCAAATGTACGCCAGCGTCTGGCTGTGGGTCTGTCTGTCTGCTGGCATTGTTGGTTTCACTTTTTAGATTTATGCTTTTAGATTTTAATGAAACGCAGAGGACGCAGAGGGAGAAGCATGCAAATTTAGCGATTCGTTGGGGGATTGGAGGCTAGGCCAATTTTGGGTCCATAACTCATGCCGCAACATGAAAGAAATTAGTTCGGGCAGCGGACTCTCATCCTCTTCGTTATCGAAAGTGAAAATCAGAAGCTTGATTTGTGGCCAAGAAAGGCAAAGAAAGCAAGGAAAAATATTCCATTTTTACTGACCAAAGAGGAGAAACCTCAGCTAACCCACTGCTAAAGTTGATGCTTTAAATGGCTTTCAATTTGGGTTGTCGAAGCCTTTAAAGGCACATCAATTGATTGGCTTCCCTCCACTTGGTTTCTGTAATAAAAAATACACAATTTCCACATTCACAGCAATAATACGGCTAATTCAGTCGATCAATTCGCACTCGAGGAACAATCGGCTGGCTGCCAATTAGTAGAAAAATTGCTAAAAACCTATGGGGCCGCTGTATCTAGGGGTATGCCAGTTGCCTGTCCATCTGGCTATCGACGAGTATCTATTGGGGGCACACACGCAAACTGTTGCTGCTGGCAACGCGTGTGTGGCAGCAACAACAACTTTCTTGCAACAGCAATTGGAAGAGCATTGGATGAGCGTAAGCCTCTAGCAGCTTGTAGGCAGTGGCAAATAAACAGTCAAGCATGTACTCACACACACACACACACACACACACACACCAGCGAAAAGCTCTGTGCAAAAAGTGTAGCATACAACACGGGGCGGCGCCATCAGCAACATCTGCTGCCGTTGCCGTTGCTGTTGCTGTTGCCTTCCACTGCTGCATGGCAACTGCACATTACCGTTTTGTAGTCTTTCATGCATTCATTTTGATAGTTAGCCAGGCGGCAGCTCACTGAAAATATTGCCCGCCAAGGGACAGCGCACAGAAGTGAGCTTGGCATTACAGGAGCCTCGGGGGCCACAGTGGAACAGGAATTTATATCTTCAAATAAATAACTAAATAATGCAAATTATTTACAAATGGTGCCATGATTGTTGGCTTAATGCTTGGGGCTTAAACTCTTTTCTGTCTCTCTATTTATTTACAAAACGTTCATCCTTTTCCACTGTGCGCAGGCGGAGATATCAGACTCTGTCTCTGTCTCTCTCTCTCTTTTGCACTCTTTTGGTGGGTCGTGTCTCCTGTCCCGGCCACTGGATGGGCACGCATGTGTGTCCTGCCTGCCTGCAACTTGACCCCGGGTCAAATGCAACAAGATGCGGTGCGTTGAGTGCCGTTGCTGTTGCTGCTGTTCCTCCTGCTGCTGCTCTTGCCGTTCTTGCAAATGAAATTTTTCTTCAATTAGTTTATTTTCACACCAATGATTTTGATTTCAGGTTCGATGGAGAGAGCCAGGGTCCAGTCCCAGTACGCCTCTACACAGTGGCGTTACGTAGCTCCCAGCCAGATCCTTGTCTGGCCAATCGTGTTGCTGTTGCCGTTGCATCGGCCTGTTAACGAGTGTGTGGCAATTAAGGCATCGCGTAATTGTTGCCAGTTGCTGGCCGATGCCGATGCCGATGCCGATGCTCGACTGACGCGGCAACAATATCATTGAACTGAAGTGAAGTCCCGTGGCTGCCCGTTTCCAGGCATTTCTTTTCCATTGAACATTGAACATTTTGTTGTGCAGCGCCAATTTTTGGATTGCTTTCCACTTGATGGTTTTTCGAAATGAAAAACCCAAACAAAGTACCAGCAAAATGATTGAAGTGTGGCCCAATTCCATGTGGATGTGTGCATACATTATGCATGTTGATGCCTCAAATCAGACACTGGGCAGGTAGCAGCCATGCCATTACCTTTAGTTGCCGCCACATTACGTATACGCCACGTAAGGCAGCAAGAAATGAATTGGATTTGTCAGCCATCTCTCTGTGACACAACTAAAAGATATCAACGAGAGAGTAGCCCCGCATACTCAAGAAATGAGCATGCGATACACGTGCTTGGGTAATTTGTCACATGAGCCTCTAAAATATGCCCCAGGGTGTACGGGCCTGGGACTCGCAGCGCCCCCAACCGCACAGCTACACTTTGGTGTCTCCAAATGCAATTTCTCTGGTAAATCATAAAAGTAATTGGAACTAGAGTTGGATCCCAAAACCTAAGCCTAAACCTAAGTGTAACAAAAACCTGAAAATGTTTGCCCATATTTGGCGTTTTACTTTCTTGGAACCTCTTTCAAAGTGCTGCACACATTCGGCTGGCTGGCAGGCAGCTTAGCGTGAAGAAAAATATGAAGTCTAGCGAAGATTAGATGATTTTTCAAGATAAACGCAGAAATTTCGGAGCCAGTCCTGGAGCCTAGGAAAAATTCCTAAAATACACCCACACTTGTACATGTATGTGTGTGTGTGTGTGTGTGCGCACATTTAAATGAAGCAATCAATAAAATGCTGCAGCAATTTCCATTAGAATGTTGAAGTTCTCAATTTGAATGCTGAATTTTGTTTCCTCTTCTGTTGCTGTATGTGTGGACTGGTGCGTGTTTTCAGTATTTACTTTTCATTTCAACAGCCGCCTTTTTTTGTATTGTTTTATTGTGTATGTATGAGGCCAGAGCCAGACACAAGCGCAGACACAGACATCGTTTCATTTCACATGCCCTGGCAGCG